GTCTGGGTGAAAAACATGTGCACAAAAAACAGCGCGTAACTGCGTCTTACAGCTCTCCACTAACGGCGGATCAGACTCATCTGAAACCAATTCAAACTGAATGAGAAAGTGCTGCTAGTATTCTCAAACAGGTCTGGCTGCTAACGCTCTGTAACGCGCGCAACGGGTTCTTCGATCTTGGCTCGTTTTATGAGTATGAAAATCTACTGTTCTTTTCTTATGCAGACCATGAGCGATCAGAAGGCACATGCGCCCTGACATTGGCCGGGCACGTTGATTTGGCAAACGTGTAGTTTTGGACTTTTTAAGTGGAGGACTGTAATGGCACGAGCTTATAGAATGCCGATGGTGCTCGGTCTAAAATGCTAGCAGGGTACTGTATAATGGGATGCTGGCGAAAAAACGGAGTGAAACTCTCAAAAACCTGCGAAGTAAAGCCTTCGTCCTTAACGACACAGGAAGCAATTTTGGACGAGTTTTCCACAGGCATCTTGCCAATAACCGCTACGGTAGTTACGTAATCGTATCATAGCAAGGGGGGCGGCAAAAAGACTTTTTTCTTCCTTGACTTTCGAGGCGTTGTAAGTTACACTTTATTAAATTCATATCGGATATTTTCACCACCATATTAAAGAGCATTAAATACTAATTTATTGATACTCCGTCAGCCTTCTGGAGGAGCGCTATCGAGAGATTCTGCCACGCGACGTGAGTGGGTGCCTGAGTTCAGCGAGATCGTTGATTTCTCCGCCACTGTAGACCACCCTTGTTGAGCTCCGCCCGAACCGGGTAATTGAGGGGATTTAGTTCAGATGACCGGCCTCGAACTACTCCACACGCTCTCATCAGGTTCTCCGTGGTCGTCACCGCGTTCACATGACTGCTCTGCTTGAACCGGTCCTGACTACCATGCCGACGATGACCTGTAAATCGAAGTCGAATGTAATTCGAGCCACTTTGCCTGGTTAACCCCGTCAACAAGGAAGTTTTGTAATCCCAGGACTCGATAGAGCGGGATTGAATGCTGAAGGCGGAACAATGACGATGCGGTGCAGTTCAACTGGTTACACTTTGAGAATAATTCACTTCTCCCGTTGGGGAACGCGAAGGGTTTCAGTCATGTGCGTTGCTGGTATGCCTACACTTACTGGCTCGTCGCATTAGCTTTGTCTCTCTGAACACGTCTGAAATGACATAGATTGATGGGAACGAAGCTTGGTTGATTGCGATAGAAGTCGATCTACTGACCAGGCATGCAGCAACTGCGCCGTCTACCATCACCCCATCTCCACACTTCTAGAAAAGGATAAGGTTTTGCAGTTAATCAGTCCTTTCTTGGAATGCGGCACGCATTCTACTTCCAGTCAGAATCCCACTGGGTTATTGTGTCCGAATTTTCTAATACAACAATATACAGGGCCAGCCGATGCACAAGTAAGTGTTTTCATTCCCCCAGGCGAATCTGGTAGGACTTTCACTGTTCTCGGGGGGCTTGGTTGCCCTAGTGCAGGAGGCGACACCCGTTTGGCAAATTTGATGAACTTTCGAAGGAATCCTAAGGTTTTCGAGATCGGAAAAATTGATAATTTCCTGGGAAGATTACTACAAAGGCGGGTTGTTCCAAAACAGTTACGGTAAACTGGACATTGAAATCGAATATGAAGTAGAAGAAAATGGTATTGAATACAACGTCAAGAGCCTCTCTTCCCTATTCATAGAGATGTTGCTTGCCAGTTTTTTCTCTTCGCCGAAAAGAGTTCAACGATGAAAGACCGCTGGTGACAACCCGTGAAGTTCGCCGACTAAATTCGACAAGTGTACGAAAATGCAGAAATCACATGCACGATCTATGAACTTTATTTGTTCAAAGCAAAAAGACAGATCCTCCCCATAGTCAGTTGGATTGCCGGGACTGAGGACCTCCTTGAGACACGTCGTGTTTTTTGCGGTGACTCAAAATTGTGGGGTCTCATAGTTGACATCGGCAATGTCTTTTCAAAAACCGATTTTTATCTTCAGTTCATCTGGCGCCGGATCTGATGGTTGGCGTTTGCCAGCTTCTATCGATCACAGATGATGCCTCCTTTGGAAACCTGTGAACGCCTGCAAAGCTATGTAATAGTCTGAGCCTCGTTCACATCTGACCCAGGCCTACAGTTCGTACCAAGATGAGACATGCAATCAGGGTACAGCATCGTGATGTGTGAAATGGTGGTGTCAGTCGGACATCCCCTCGAAGGAGGGTCTAGGTACGAGCCCACCTCCCTTTCTCTACACCCACCCTACCACTTTCCTACAAGTTCCCTACACCCTACCAGTTTTTCACCCAAAAAACTTTGATGTCGAGTGGGGTAGGGAATATATAGCCAATGTGAAACCGTATAAAGCCAAACAAGTCAACGACCGAAAATTTTTCCCAACGCAGAAATTTCTTTCAAAGGCTCACACGACCCTCTCCCAAAAACAACCAAATACGACCCCTCGCCAGCGGCCAAGTACGACCCCCATGTGTTCCACACAACGATGCTGTACCCTGCATACAATTCAACAGGAATACCAAAAGGCACTAGCAAAAGTGCAAAATGCCTCCCCTACCCCCTTGAGCCGAAGTAATTCTGCCGATTCCATCCCTCTATTCAGTCCTAATATCTAGTAACGCTTACAAAATGGAGCGGCACATAGTGGAAGGATTCAGTCAGAGCTGGCCCCCTCTAATCAGTACAGCTCTTTTAAAACAAAGTCTACTTGAAGTTCTCAAAGTTCCTCCCAGGAAGTTCCTTCCGTAGTTTCTGTAGCCTCAGACGCTGGTAAGTCCGGTTTGTTCCTCCTAGGACTAATCCTGCTCCGTAACAGAACTTGCTCGTCTTGTTGAGAACTGGACACCCCTCTCTATCTATGGTATCTTTTGCAAAGGACTGCATCCGCTGAAGCGCTTCTCGCTGAGCCTGTAGCATCAATTGCTAAAGAGGCCCATTTATAAGGCTTCAGCGCTGTTCGGTTCTTGGAAAGTGGAGGGGGCATTTTGCACTTTCTGGCTAATTCCTGTTAAATTACACGTTTCACCTTGGTAAGACCTGTACACTCTCAGGTGTGAAGGAAACGCATGCTACTGCCCAGCTTTACGGAAATTCAGAGGTTCCACAGGAAGGTCGGCGTAAACCAGCAAAATGTCCCCACCAGAACGATCTGCAACGACTCTTATTCCCATCAGCTTTGGTTTCTCTTCAACTTATTTTCATGGATCTAGCTTTCAAGCTTTCGGAAGCACCTGTGCCTCTAATACTGGATCGAGTCCTCTACTGTTAGAGATAGAAGGTGTATGTCTACAGTCTATATGAGTGAGCCAAATAAACCATTGATTCTATAGTCATGGCTCTTAAAAAATTTGCTTGCTGTGTAAAATCACAGTCCTTGCTGATCATATGGGAGGAACAACGGTAGGCTAATCCCGCAAACTTTGCAAAATTGGATAGCGCTTTAACCCTATTCAACATTTTCACATACAAAATGATTAAATATTTCTCGAAATTTTCAGCGTCGTCAAGGTCTTCGCATCGATAATGTGTTCCGAACGTACTTTGGTTGGGTTATGTTACCACTGGCACTACTCGGAGCTCTACTCGTTTCGCTATTCATACTGGCAACATACCGGGTACGAATCACCTCATTCTTTTTCGCTATGATTAGGTATAAACAAACTTCCTATAATGGTTTCAGGCCATCAAAGTTCGAGTGGTCAGTCGGAAATGCTACATTCTGTTGTTAAACAGAGCAATTGGCGACCTGATTTCTTGTATCGTCGCTTTGATTGTCTGTGCTTACGTGTTACTTTGGCACGAAATAAAGTAAGTGCTGTACTAATAGAAGCAGAATCTACAGTTATAGTTTATAGTTACTGCAGTCAAAAGCTGCAAAGTTGGTCTCCGCGGCCATGGCGGGGTCCCCACTTTTTGTAGAGGTTGGTAAGTTCTAACTCCAACCTATCAACACATCCAGGCGTGCTTTGCCTTAGCAGAGGTACTTCTTTATCACTCGGAGAGGTAGACATTGCTCTTTCCTATTCGTCGTAGATCCGCGCGAAGAAAGGGGGGGGGGCTGGACATCAGGGTCTCAAATCGCAGACCATGAATCAAAGCATCCAGCAACTCATTTGAGGTGAGAGATAGCTCCTCTTTTGAGTGGTATTTCCAAGGATCGAAATGCTGCTAAGCATTTCGATCCTGAAATGCTAAGTCAGCAATCAAAATTGCGCGATGAAGCGCCGTGGACGCACCTTACCGTGCTTCGGTGAGCTACCACTGTAGTGGCACTCCAGTGAAAAGGGGCCCTATTCCCCTATAGTTTCCCAAGATCGCTACAGCGTTGAAACGATACCAGACTGTTTTCTTCAGGCAATGTTCGCTCGTCACTATTATCTTTACCAGTCGGCTCGCCGCTAACGCCGCGCGGCTCCTTCTATAAGGCGCGCGGCGCGGTTTCGGCAGCACGTATTTTCCTTCACATAATTTCTACACTCAACAATATCCGCCATTTTTGTTCTGTAGCATCCACACTTTTTTTCCGGTGTCTGGAGGTGCTCTAAAACTCATTTAGCAGAATTTTTCGTCTGACGCCCACCTTAGAGCAGACCCGCGCCACAATTTTTGTGCCCACAGTCTTCACCGACGACCCTCTGCTGACCTTAATCCACCTTTTTTCCGGTGTCTGGAGTGTTCTGGAACCGTTCTACAGAATTTTAGTCTGGCTCCGCCCACCTCGAAGCAGGCTCCGCCCCCAATTTTTGTGCCCAGCATCCTCACTCCAATCCTCTGACCCTAGTCGACTTTTTACGCGGTATCTGCAATGTTCTGGAACCAAGCTACAAACTTTCAAAATGAGTACCCTGCGATTTGGGGCAAGCTCCGCCCACTGTGGCCGGGTCTCAACACACTTATTCGAGCGTAAACCCCTGTATTCGCCCGGCATAATTTACATTCTACCTGAGTTTTTTGAGACTGTCCAAGCACTCGCGAACCGGCTGAGTTTTGGCGAGTAAGCCCCTCAACTTGAGTAAGGCCTCGCCATTAAGGTTGTACCTGCCACAGTTAGTCTGGCGACTCCTTTCTAACCTTAGTCCCTTTTTTCCCCCATCTTTAAGCTGCTCCGGAAGCGAATTATGAACATTTTCCTGCCGGAACCCAACTGTGTCTGGCGAGTGCCCGCCTGTGGGGCAGGCTTCCATAGGGTCAAGTGTGCTTTTTATTTCTTGTCCCACGCCCTACCTATCCCACCTTGACTGGACCTCTCCAAGTCCTTCTCAGGTCGAACCGCATTTCCGGACAGACACAACTTCAAAAACTTACAAGCTCACAAACACAAACAAACGACGAACAAACAAACAAACAGACAAAGCGAATTATATTATGGGGGGTGATTATATATATTGGGGTGATTCTCAAACTAGCGGCGCCGCGCCGCTCGAGCTTGCTACGCTGCTCTCCCCGCCCACACATCGAGACTCTGTTGGGCAATGACAGCGTGTCGTAGCGTGAAGTTAGCGCTTTCACGCGTCCTCTTAGCCGCGTCTTCTTAAAGGCAATTCCCGCGACCACACTTCATAGGTGATACAGTTAAAAAAAGAATTGCCATGTGCTTGTTGTCTTACTCAAGAAGAGGGAAGCTCGAAAACCGCCCGCAATAAGACCCTCTTTATTGCTATTGCCGTGATCACCGGACGAGCATAAGATGATCAAGATCAATTGTGGTCTGCAAAAGGCGACGATACAGTGACTGGAGAGGAGAGGGACCAGAAAACGGCCGGTGAGAGAGCACATTGGCATCTTCACTATGACACGTTCGACGCAGGCCGGCATGGGCCTATTGGGTGCCAATGGGCCTAAAATCGATGCGTTTTGCTTTCTCGTTGTTAGTTTTCGACTTTTTTGTACAGTAGGCAGCCTCATTGCGGGTGGACTTACCTGTTCATCGCACTGCACAATTCAAGGTTTCAGCTCAATTTTATCGCGAACCGTGCCTTAGTAAGTCTGTAAGCTATCCCTCAAGACCGAAGAACACTTGAACATTGATGAAGCGACCAAGATTTTAGTGCTCTACAACCTGAGTATTTGCGCCAGAGCCTAGACTTTATATGGACACATACCGTTCCATTTATTATTTGTTTTACCGGTTGTCACTGTGGGACATGAACTAGCATCGAGTACTGGCTTACTTTCAGCCGTGATATGGTCATTTTACTGGAGTCATTCTTCATAGGATCATTTTGGTCAGGCGATTGATTTTCCTATGTTGCTCTTCAGTGCTTTAACCAGGTTTGACTCATTTCCTGCTCTTACTGTAGCACTGCACTTTCTGTTAATTGATGTGATTTCAGGTTCTGTTTTGCTGTATGGAAGCCATTCCACTACCGAAAATGGTTCACTATGAAACGTTGCATCAACTTGATCATTTTCAGGTAGGAAGACTGAAACTTCTTGATTTGACCGTAGTCCAAAGATATGGCTTTGTAGTGGGCCGCTTCAGAAAAAAATTAGACTTTCTAGCTGCGTAGATTCAAGGTACTGTAAAGTGGAGTATTTCTGATGGCGGCTAAAGAGGAAGCATTGCAAGAGACAATTGCCGCGATAATTAGAACTGGCGGAGACACCGACAGTCAATTTGTCATCCTTATTGGTGCGCCCTTCATTCTTATAGACTAAAGAGAAGGTTTCAACGAAGACGAGGGTTAGAAGGTCATGAGACTCGACCCATTCTTCTAACCATGTAAACTTTCTGAAGATCGTTCATCAACGGCAAAAGTTAAGACTAACTCCCTCGCCTTGGGCACATTGAGCGCCTCTTTGTCCGATTGGAGTTCGACAGATCTTGCAAAGAAACACTCTTCAAGCGTGAGCAAAAACGGTAACGCTGTGCCCTAGTTTCGTGAGAGCCCCCTCCCTCTCTCCCCCCACTTTACCACCCAGGAAGTTGAGTGCGCTAATGTGTAATCACAGTAGTTCGCCGTCATTCCATTATTATGGAATGTTGTTTAAACTTATGGCACGATAATTTGGTACTCTGCCAAAAGTGTAAGGTGCTATATTAATGGAAAAAATGATGAAAAAACGAAGTTAGAGGTCAAAAACCTGCGAAAAACCTTTGCCCTGCACAGGCATAGGACAGGCATTTTTGGACGAGTTTTCGTTGTCATCGTGTCCTGTGCACGAACGTATCCATATATTCCATCCACTTCATGTAAGCTGTAACTCATGACTGAAGCGATAAGAGTGCCAGGGTCTATGTGACTGTGCGGCTACTTGTGGGCGGGCGGTTGTGGTGGGCGTCTAGGTCGCCATGTTGCTTATAGCGCCACATTTGTGTTAGGCGCTAAAACGATGCCCTTCATTGGAAGAAGGTGCCCTTCTTCTGAGCTTGGTAATGGGTGTCAGAGTAATTCTTGTCTGTGCTTTTCCGTATCAAACTTGTATGCCTTGTCGCGCTTATCGTGCCAACTTCTTCCATGCATGTACTCGAAATAATCGGATTATTTTTTTCAGTTGGGTGATGTTCATTCTGATGATCAGCTATACCCTAAGTATTTCGGCGCTGGTGAAAATTCCTGCGTTAAATGAGTGGTCAGGATGTAAAATGGAGACTTGTCTGAGAAACATGTACAGGTGAGGAATTATAGATTCTTCCTATCAGTAATTTAAAGCTCCCAACATGGTCCTTTTTTGCTCTTCTTTCATAAACACACGCCTTCAGAACACGCAACTTCTTCACGGTCACTGTGTACGCCTTCACACTAGTTGTTTTCTTCTCTACAGGTGAGCCCAAAAATCATGCGAATTTGTGAATGAATATTTCTCAAAATTCCTTTCCAGCCAGTGACGCTCTATCATAGAGTAATTTCAAAGAAGTTTCCCTCGTTTTCGTCTAGTTGTTACCAACTATTTTCTAGCATTCGCTGCTTTTTTCTCGGAACTGGTTGCACTTGAGAGTTAAGAACGCGCCTTACCTAAGTAGCCGTATATTTTCCCAACACTTAGCGTTTCATATCTTATACGATCTTTGCCGCGCATCAACGCGATGTGATCAATCGCTAGATTTCACATTATTACTAACTTTTATTGGTTTTTCTTTATGGAAAACTCGCCGCTTTCAGTCCTGCTGATTCGACGCGCCCAGAAATTCGTGGACTCATTCAAAAGAGAGAATCCACAAAGTCTAAGAGGCAGGCGGGTACGATTTCCACTGTGGAAACTCGCACTCAACGTTGGCACCTTTGCTGTACTCTACTTATTTTATGCCATTTGGTCAGTTAAATTTCACACTTTATCGTAATATCTGTAATTAACACGATCATTGAGGTCGAGCTTGGCTTTTTGGAGTTAAAGTGGCCTTTTGTGAGCTGTATAATACTCCAAATGAACAAGAGTTCAAGATATGAGTTGTTCAGGTGCGCCGGTCTATTAATAAACCAAGACCAATGCTTTTTCCAACGTAATTATCCGGAAATGATGCGAATTCTTGCAATCGTTCGATGCACTCTGATGCTGCGAATCATCGTCGATCCAATACTGTCTTTCGCAACCGATCTCCAGGTAAAACCACTAGACATTAATGTTTTTTCAAAAATGCGCTTTCTCGGTGCCTCTGAAATCAAAACTGACGCAGCGATTTCAGTAGCTCCTCCAACATGTGAAGCTCTCCTTACGGCGACAAAAGCTTTACTTGAAGACAAATCACCTCTGAGGGAAGGTCCTTGCAGCCTGTGCTTGGTGTGGGGGCCACTTCTGCTCAAAGATGCTCAGAAGGGTAGGAGGGAGTTGGTCGGGAGCGCCTCCTCCTAATGTTGCCACCCGGGTTATCGTCAAGTGCATCACTTGGTGTGAGGGAGCTAAGATCGCTCAAAACACATCGCGGTAACGAAACAGAGCCGTCGCTGAAGTAATGGCGTTTGGCTAAGGCTAAGCGCTGTGGGCGCGGCCGCCGTCTGGCTATCGACTGATTATGTGGATAACGTTATCTGGTGTGTCATCAACCCTCTGTCAGCTCTATTGGACGTGGGGCATTTCGAGAGGAAAAGTAGCACGTTAGCTGCAAGCTGCGGATCCATTCATCGTCACACACGCTCATGGGAAGGACCGTTATGTCATCGAGATGATAACACAATTCGACGGGGCAGTTCAGCTGAACGGGATCATGCTGCTTTTTTGAATTTCTTATCGACTGCGGGGCTTCGGCCCAATCTAGACAGCCTCGTTCTGGGGTTGACGAGCTATTCCATGACGGCTTGACGAGCTTGCTCCAGCTTCACAAGATTTCGCATGTTTTACCAAAAAGGAACTTGTAATTCAGAACTAGTAGACTAACTAGAGTGGAAAACTTCCCCCTCTCCCCCCCCCCTTGCCGAACTCTGCCGAGTTCTTCTTCGACGAAGATGGACACTCACAACAGCATTCGTGCGCGCCCGACACTATCGCGCCTATTCTGGCTATTAATGCTGAGCGAATCCTTTCTACGCTGAAGAAAAATCATGACAGCTCAACGATATACAAGAAGCCCTTTTTTCATTTGCGCTAGACTGAGCACGCCGAAGTGAGGCAGTTAGTATCTCTAACCTTACCTGACGCAGTTTACTCTGCCTGATATACTAGTAGTGCACACGAAAAGTTAACAGTAGGCAGCACGGCCAACTCAAGTCTTCGTAAAATAGGTCCTGTTTGTCTGCTCACGAAGCAGAAAAGCTACAATGCAAGTATCACCGTGAGAAAACGACGTCATGGGAGGAGACAACAAAGAGTATCAAGCTCACACATTTGAAAAATTGCTTGAGTATTAGGCGTTTCCAAGAACTCTTTCGGACACTATTTATCACCTTTTACCCTTCCATAAGATTCCTTCCGACGTGATTTCCGCCAGGTATTCCGTTCCCGAAGCTAGCACTCGGTTTGGCAAAACCTTACCGGAGAAAGCAACTTTGCGATCACTGTGGGCCTCTGGCCAGATAAGCTCGATGAAATTCATATCATATCAAGAGAGAACCTTAACGATATTGTACAGAAAGCAACTGACAGAAACTCGGAATAAGACGAATTGTTATGACATTTTTATTCAACCATGTCGATTACACATAAGTCTTCACGATTTATCCTGGTACTACAAAAGAAGTTACACGGATCCTAATAGGGTGTGTGATCACCACGGACAGCAATACATGCTCTGCACCGCGATCCCATACTCTCCACGAGGTTGGTAATGAGTTCCTGGGGCAGGGCATTCCACTCCTCAATCAGTGCATTTGACAATTGCTGGATCGTCATTGGTGCATTTGGTGTGCCGTGCTGGCAATGCTCTACCCAATGCATCCCACACGTGCTCAATGAATCTTCGGTCGGCCTCACGGGCGGGCAGCTCCATTCGCTCGGAACCTATCTCTCGTTCTAGAAGCTCCTCTCGACCTGTGCGGTCGCGCAGTTGTAAGTCCATTGAAAATGAAGTCGGGTCGACTGGCAGCTCTGACAGGACCGACCATATATGTAGGAGAAACTCGTCCCGCAGTAACGCTGACTGTGAGTTTCGGCATGCTCAAAATCGGAAGCAGTAGGCCATGCCACATGCTTCCTCCCGTGGCATAACCCGCGCGTCGACACCGTCGAATCACGTTCGAGCGAATGTTCTCTGGGGGAATGCGCGTCGTTCCACTTCGCCCACTATGAGGGGTGTGGTGCGCGAGAATCCACCGCTTCAAACTGAACTGCTTTCATCGAAAGAAGCACACGCTCCATTCCTCATCGGTCCATTCGCCGTGCTTCTGGCACCGTAAACGGTCTCGCCGATGCGCGGGGGTCAAAGGAACAACGTAACGGTCGGGCCAGAGACACGCACCATGCAGTCGTGCTTGTCCACACTGTAGTGTGTGAGATGACTTGCCCTAGAGTATTGTTGAACGTCGTTGCAATAGCCGAAGCCGACTGATGAGAATCTCTTACCTGCTGCACAATGTGGAATTCGTCCCTTAGTGTAGTTGTCCTTGGTCGGCCACCTCCTCGTCTTCGGGCAGCAGTACCAAAGGTTCGGAACGCTCTCCATGCACGTGAAACAACGCTGTGAGCGATACCGAACTCCTGGGCTACACTCGTCATGGTTCGACCTTCTTCGAGTTTCCCTATGATCCTTCCTCGAGTGAAGTCATCCAGATGCTCTCTTCGGGACATGATGTATCGAAAGGATACTACCACAGTTCTTTGCATTCACTACGGATTGAGAATAACTTTTTTTTCATACCATAGACTGCCTCGATTTGCGCGGTCGGCCATATTTGGCACTTTATTCAAGCTCTTCTTCCACCGAGAAAAGTCTAGCTTCCTGTGCATATCCCTTAGGCGAGTGGCAACATGCTCCCACACTTTCATTTACTTCCACCCAGTCATTAGTGTTTATTACTACTTTATCCATCTCGTCCCTAAGTTTTGCACACCAGTGTAGTTCGCCTTGAGCACAGACTGATATGGCAAGCAAGTTGGGCTGTGGTTCCTGCGTGCCGGCACTTATACTCGCACCATCACGGCACTTGGCCCATGGACGCTTGTGTTCCAAAACTAATGTGATGATCGTGCTCACGGGGTCAATCCACGTTCGGGGACAAGATCCGTTGAAGTTGGATTCCGGCTCAGTTTTCAGAAAACGGGATCTGGTAGGGTAAACAGTGCCAGCTTCTCCCCTTTGTCCTGACTTGCTTCGAATCATTGCAATGAGAGTATCGCTGTGGAGGCTTCGTGAATCATTATTCTTCTCTTTTCAGATACGCCGCATATTCTTGACGATAATTGGCTTGAAACAAGCGATGGCCTATGGTTCGTCACGAGTATTCGAAAAGTCGTCAGATGGTTCTGGCGGAGAAGTGGGAAACGGGATAAGTCGCGCTTCTCGCAGCCAAACAGCATCTACCATAGGTTCTAATCTCCCATCAACAGTGAAACTTTAGTTCTAGCGAGCGTACCTTAACTTGCTTTCTTTCTTGGTGTATTTTTTTTGCTTCAAAATGTGCCTATATTGCCATAATACTTGCCATTTCTCTACTACTGGGAAGATCTTTGATCATTAGATTTGTTAGCTACTCATTCTCCCGCATAAGAGGCGAATTCCACGGTTAGCTCAATGGAACACCACTCTCGTAAGTAATGTAAACGGGTCTGTGGATGTCAAAGCTGGGCGGCAGGGCAGCAGGGAACGTTTTTCCTGTGGCGATTACCCGTTCATAAACAATCTACCCATGACATGATGAACACTCCTTCGGCGTCAGCCCTCTCTACTCTCTTGCCTGTAAAGTATGCTCTCTAATTAGAGTGCCAATTTTTTTCGCGGGGAGGTTGGACAATATTTCCAATTAGCTGCAAAAAGGAGTTCTGCGAAAGTGTTTCTAGTTTTTTTCTCTCATCTTTTTTACAGACGAGTGGGCCCTGCGCCTTCATACTCGAAACCTTTTTCCCCCCTTCCTTTCTATAATCCCTTCGCATAATGCGACGCTACTCGGATTAAGGCGGGGATAACTTACTGGTTGCTATCGAGGTGGACCTGTGAAAACTCCTGTCAAGTTACGAAATGGCACTCAGCAAAGCTGGTGCGTGCAGCTTTGTCAAGAACGTGTGTTTCTGT